GTAAATACTTACTTTATGAAAATTTATTTATTTACATCAAATGGCACGCGTTCTGATAGTTATCATTAGCCCTTTAGTTGACTTCTGGCTTCACAGAGGGGAAGGAACATTAAAGTGAAATAAAGTCGAGAGAGGTTGGAGGGGGGGGGGACAGAAGAGTGTTTCAAAGATGCAAAAGAGACAGACACAAAGGTAGAAAAAAGATGAGATGAGTACTGTGGAAGTACTTGAACACGCATTACAGTGGGGTGATGGTAGTTTGAAGTCAGAAGTCAACTGCCGATTAATAGACTTTTTGTCGTATGAGTATACGTTGCCCAGGGTGCACCACGTGGAGATAAGTCTATCGCACACCCCCACTTTATGAACGTATAATCGAAAATAATGCTTTAGGGAACAAATTGAATCTCGTGCCATTTCACAATTTTTGGCAATATAAACAGCCTTTCAGGGAATATTTTCTTTTAATAAAAGTGTGCTATTTAAATGGCGAAGAAAGTCATTCAAATACTGACTTGTGTTTGAATATTTTACAGGAGCACAGTTCACATTAGTTTACAGTCGCAAATAGATTACATTTGGAAATAAAGAAAGGTAAAATAAGCTTTGTTTACAAATAAGTTCTCACGAGATAAAGAGGAAGGAAAGAAATGATTAAACTCAAAGTGTGCTCAACAAAAAAGGCGGTTTAAATCTTTATCAAATCAAATTTATTTTGGAGTATTGATTTTATTTTTAGACTCTGGGAGTCTGTGTCTGTGTATTGGTAATGGGATTATTACTCTAACGACTGACGCCTGCCAAATATTTGGTTTGATTTGATTCGTACGGTGAAATAACTCAGTGTTCACGGAACTGAGTTATAGGAAAAAGTGGCCACTTGAAAGTGTGAAAATTCCGTTTAGAAAAATTAAAATTCCCCTTATCTTTCCCTAAAAATAAGTTTAAATTTGTCGTGCCTTATTCATAATTTGTGCATATTTATTAATGAAACACAATTTTTTCGCGAAAAAAGGAAAGTATTTCCCACTGTATTCTGGCCAAGATATTAGAAATGCATTGTTATATAGTCATTTAGGCATCTCTTTGATCATGCAGTACGCAGTGCCCTTGATCGGTGCACTTCTCTGATTCAAAGACTATTGGAATTCGGACAAGTCATTACACTTTCAGACACACGCCAATCAGCGGGGGTTACTTTTATGTCATCCACTAAAAGACCCATTGGCGGCAACAGAAACGCGCCTCTTTGCACCCATAAGAATGCAAGTAATTTCATTTAACAAACAGAAAGTTGAAGAGTGGGGGTTTCATTTGGAATAAAGGACACGAGTATCCCCTTTAAATTGACTGCAATTCAGGTGATTTTTTATCCACATTTCTTATATATGATTGTCTGACGGTATGACTTATGCAATAAGCACATTTTTTTCCAAAATATACAATCAATGTTTATGAGTACGCAAAGAAAAATGCATGCGTTTGGCAACTAAATCGCTAGTTTTTATTTGCAAACATGCGCAGCGTTCAAGCATGTACTGAATATGTGATTTATTGAGAATGCATTGTGCATGCATAAGTACTACCCCCCCCCCTTCAGTACACGCACTCATGGTTGCACGCGGATGATACCTCTGCACTTGCCCTTCCACTCAAGTAACGATCCCTCCCCCCCTTCCCATCTAATTACCAAATTAACCAATCATCTTATGCCTGATCTGCACCAATTGGCTGATAGTGCGAAGGCTAGCGCGATTGGTCGAATATTTTCGCGACTGCGGATTAACGAAAAAAAGTTGCCATATGGTTGTGACTTTCTTGTTCGAACACGTATACATAACAGACAATGGAGGTATGGTTTCCGTTCGGGCAAAACAATAATGGAACTGATGAAGCAAATTTACAAAACAGAAGTACCGAAGAGAACCAAATGTACAAATCAACTTCAAGATCTTCTCAATTTTGGGGCCTTGTAGGGAAGGAGATAAATGAAGAAGTGTCTACTCATGCATCGACAGTTTCCAATACAACTCCATTAATGTCAGCGGCTGCAGCTGCGATGGCTCAAAGTTTCTTCAACAGAGAATCTTCTGGATCAACAAATAACCATTTAAATACGCTCCTTAGTGCAGCAGCAGTTACCAATTTACATCATGGACCAAATATGAGAGTTGGAGGCTTTCCATTATTTAATCAATCACCTTCAAGTTCAATTGCGTCGGAACACAGCGCTTCTTCACCAAATAGGAACTACTTTTCTCCGTCAGGTGAAACTTATGCCCACGGATACATGCAAGGGAATTCTTCTTCGAGAATTGGGACCCCTAATCAACTCCACCGCCCTCCTCAAATTCCCATCGGTCCACCACCTAATTTGCCACCGCTTCCTCCGAATCAAATTCAACCACCCCCAAACTATATAGTTGGAGGAAATATCTCCTCTTCTGCTGATCTTAACGTTGGATCTGCCTCGACAGGAAACATCAGCAGTAGTATGGAACAAATATGGCCATGGATGACTGTTGTTGGTAAGTATTCAACTTCCAATGATTTGTTGATTTTATCTTAACAATGGCTATTAATGCAATATATTTTTAATCAGGTAAAATCGAAGAGGTTACTCTTAATATCACATGCCATTTATTTAATATTTACTAAATCAAATTCTCACAAACCTTTTCGTAAATTTCCGTCTCAATTGATCGATCAATTTTTTTACTACTAATGTGGAGAAAAATGAACTTATTTAATCGAAAATTGACAAAATAAAAGAGCCAAATTTTATATCTACTTTCCTGTTTTTTTAAAACTAAGTAAAAAGGAAAAAAGCCATTTCTTCATCAGTCAGGTAATATTAAATACAAATATATGACTTCCAAAAGCTACTCAAAAGTCCAACCTCATTTATTGTTCATATTTAGCATGCTAAAAGTTTGTTTACTTATCCACTTGTATTAGTTATCCGTATTTCTCATGTTGAAAGTGAGTAGCAGTGGCGTAAAATGCAATATTTGTGCTAATGGTGATTGTTATATTCTTGAGGTAGTAACTATGATCACGCTTCAAGTGGTCCTGAGCCCTGTCGAATGCTTAAGTGATATATTGAAGAAGCTGGCCTTCTACTCATTCCTCTCTATTTATGCACTTACTCTAAATGTAAATACACTCCACAAAGCTAGAAGAAACCTTCCACATTCCTATAATGATCAGAGTCAAACTGATTACCTAAAGATAGAACACGGAAGGTTTTAAAAAATGATAAAACGTCTGCCTATATGTAGAATAACGATTGAAGTTTTAGAAGATCTGGCTTAAATTAAAGTGAATTGTTAATGGTGATTGATAATTTTATATACATCGGTTCACTTGTACAGCATCTAAAGATGTACCTTTTCAGGTGAACCTCGAACCGTTCGAAACTCTTCCCTTTAGGGGGTTATATTTATGCCCACAAATATGGATTGCACTGCGCCTATGTTTCCAATGATAAAGGAAAGCTTGTTTAAATTAACCGTGAACATAGTTAGTAGACATTTTCACGCATGTCGCCTGACCAATAACGACACAAAGGGCAAAACAATTGTATGCACTATTTATTTTAATCAAGGTCATTTGATTTAAATTACGAATATATGCCCCCATAAGTAAAAATCCCAAATATAAATCGTTATCCCTGCTGAAACGGATTCCCGAATTCTCACGGATTGCACTCAATAAAATTAGGAATCTGCAGAATCTACAACAGAATGAGCTGCGGCCTTAGGAATGTTGTCAAACGTCAGGTGTTGATATGTAGCGCAAGCCTTTGTTGTGGGTTTATGCGTGCGTATAATGAACAGGCTTGAAACCAGGTCGAGGAGTGCATTATATAGTCATTTTAGGCCCAGGACTTCATACACACTTCCCTCTCTAGGGGTGTGGAAATACAGCAAAGTATATTTCTTCACCCACTTACTGTGCGCGCGTTAAATTACGTGGGTGCGGCCGTGGCCTTGTAAACGCATGAATGAGTATTAATTTATTGGTCCCAGTGCGTGCATGTGCTACCCCTCTACCACACGCCTTCGTGTTGGCGGTATCTTCGGCGGCGCATCAAAGGCACCATGACGCGAAAACGTTAATTCATTAAAACAAAGGCTTTCTGAAGTCGTCCTGATAGTCTGCTTGAGATTTCGGGTTATTTATTTATACAAATATGTTGATTGTGTGCAATTGAGTGTAGATCCCCTGGCTCAGTGTCATGATTAATTAGTTCCATCCATAACAGCAATTTGCTGGTTGGCTCACTATTGATTAAAACATTTGAAATTATTATTCAAAGGAGTATATTCGTGCTTGCTGCCAATTTATCGTTTCTGCATCCACATTGAGTCAATAGCTGTATTTCTTGATATTCTCCACTCACTAGAATTTATTATATATATATATATATATACGAAGTAGAGATTAGCATTTTAACTATACTCCCCATATTTTGCGCCGTAAAATTAACTCTGCTGGCAACAATCGTCTCATCGATTTTACCCTGAAATGATGGACTAAGAAATGGGTCATCCCCTTTGAAAGTCAAAATCGGCATGACAACAAATTTGAGCACTTTGAAATTTTTAATGGGAATTTATTTTTAATTTTAAATGGTTGAATAAAAATTAAATTTTGCATTTTCAAGATATTTTAATAATGAAACAAATAATCAAAATTGGCATAAATTGGAGATGATCAGATGAGTAAGGGGTTTATTGGTTTGATTTTCATAAATCAATGGCTTAGGCTATTGCGTTTTAACAGTACCCACGGGACTGTCTGACTTATAATCAAGAGGGGATTAATGCGCCCTCAAAGTGAACAATTTGGGAAAAGAAATTGTCCATGTTCGTCCCGAATCAACACGATTGAACTTAAATTAGGTCAAAATTGGAGGGGGGGGGGGGGGGGGGGGGGGGG